CATGACTTTAAGGCCCCTCACAATGTACCTCTTCTTACTTACTATCTTACCCAAACACTGAGCTCCCATTTCCCATTTGCAAAACAAACACTATTTTGTTGTCCCCTGTGTTGCTCCTAATACCTGGGAGGAGTTTTACCAAGACATCCACAAAACCACTGCATAGTTTTCTTTCAAATGGCTCAGAAAACAAGTTTCTTGCCATGTGGCTTACAAAACTGAACAACCGTTAGGCTGCTGGTGTGCTGAGAACATTGCCTACGGTGCTGACCAGTACTGTGCCATTGTTTCCTTATATTCCCTTGACTGTCTGTAGCCATCTGTTATCTTTTGTGCTTTACTTGTAAGCTCCTCAGAGCAGTAACCACTTTTTTGTCCTGTATCTCTACAGCACCTAATACAGTGTGGACTTGGTCTAAGATTATGGCTCTTAGATGCTGTGACAATGCAAAAAACTATCATCTCTCTATATAAAGGGCTTAGTCTGTCTGTTTGCCCATAACGCTCTTTAAATACAAAAAGCTTGAAAACTGTAAGAGAGAACATTTGTGTCTTCAGAGAAATTTCTTTGCTAAACCTTAGCATTTGTTTAGTGACTAGGGTGGCCATCATAGAGGACAGTTGTGCTCTGTGTCCTCTCTTGAAGAGAAAAATAGAAGATATAAAGGCGTCAGGTTTCATATCAATAGAGGACAGAGTAGCAGAAAACCGGAATGTCCTCTGTGATGGTCACCCTATTAGTGATCACATCAGGATGATCCCAACTTCCAGAACTAGGAAAAAAGTCAGGGGCCAGGGCTGTTTAAACTGAGCTCCTCCTGGGAGGGTGCCAGGAGCCCAGTGCAGCGGGGAGGGGCCAGTTGAGGAAAAGCAGGAGCCGGGCAGAGGCCTGAGGCAGTGGGCAAGCAGTGGCGGCCCTGTCCCGAGCCCTGAGCAGGGAAGGAGTTGCCCAGGGGCGGTGTAGAGGAAGCTCTGGAGCATGGGCAGCTGTTGCGAGGCGTGGAGCTCACCAGCCCTTGCCCAGCAAAGAGGCGCGCAGGTGACGGCCAGGCAGCAGCGTGAGCAGGCCTGCCTCCAGCCTGCTGGACAAGAGCAAGTGCAGAAAGGGATTGGTAAAAAAAAAAAATTATTTAATAAATATAAGAAGTAAAATCTATCTGTTTTTGTTATTTGAAATTCATTTTTGACAGGCAATTCACTAGTAATTAATAATGACCCAAGTTAGTCACAGACCAATGTCTGAAATTTATGACCTAAAGGTGGGTAAGAAAAAAAAATCACCATTGCCTCTTAAAAAGGATTAGAGTAGCAAGGACTAGGTGTCTTGATTCATAACTTCTAATATGAGACTGGATCAAACTGAGCATATCTGGCAGCCTGTCTCCTCTGGTCTCCAATTTAACTCCCACCCAACTCAACAAAAAGACTCCACAGAAAATTGAATAAGACCCAATGGAGCCCCAGGAATTGTGTGTGAGAACAGTGCTGGTGTCACATAGGCAGGTGGCTCAACTGGGGAATATATATTTGATTTTTTAATGAGCAAATGTCATTAGAATATGCAATATCCCCTTTTATTTTTTAAAGAAATGAATACCAGAAAAACCCTATGAATAATGGCAGAAAAACAGAAAAGACATAATAAAGTCAGTCAAAATGCAGAGTTATTTCCACAAAAACCATAACTCAGCAACCTTGCATATAAGCCATATATTTAAAAAAAATGTTACAAAATATATTTTTACACACGAGGCCTGCATGTAATTCTTGTGTGAACCATACATTTGAACACCTTGCCTTTCTGTGTTTAAATTCTCACTCGTAATATCTGAATAAATGAAGAGGGATATGTTCTTTTCCACTGGACATCGTCGCTCTGGATTTTGCATTAAATACTGCCTTCATTTTAAAAGCACAGCTAAAGCCAGTGAGTACCTGACTCAGCTCACAAACTAGAGACACGGCATCAAATTTCCCAACCCACTTAATTTGAAAGCCTGCCAAGATAGGTGAAGGACCTTATAAATATGTAAAGCAGGAAGTTCAAATTACATAGTCATGTACATTTCCAGTGATTGATGCCGGCTTCAAAGCAAGAAAAATCCCTGAGAAAGTCCAAGATTTGTAAAGACTCCTCACGATCTCCGACGCCTACTAGCCTCGTGTGGAGTGGAGACCGTGCATTGTACTTTTTGTACTAATTTTATTTGGGATTTCTACCACTTCCTGGAGGCCAGGGGGAGGCACAGTGGGAGGATCCAGCAAACTCGGTGCCACAGCCATTTTGTTTGTGGGCAGCATGGTTGAATTCTGTCAGTCAGTACAAGGAGGGGTTTTTAAACCAGCCTTTATGGAAAAAACTCCTCCTGCCACAATGGGTGTATCTGTTGAAAATAACATTAATCTCGTTGTTTGGTCGGGTAGGTATTTAGATCTGTCAATACATGGAGTATTTTCGTGGCTTGAAGGCTTTCTGCATCAAGGAGGCATAGATTTGGTTTCAGGCATGACTGGCTCTTTTAGATGCTGTAATGTCGTTACATCGCACAGCCCGGGTGCCTTCCCCCTGGCATGACAGGGGAGGTGTAACGAGCCTTCAGCAGCGCGGCTGTTCGCACAAGCTCGCTTGAGGGATTTCGAACAAATAATGGTAAAGCCCCACATCCTTTTTGTGCCTTGCTTTCCCTGCAAAGACGTCCTTGCTGAAGGAGGAATAAAGGATCTGGAGAGGCTGCTGGTTTGCAGCGTCACTAAAGATCGGGGCTAGACTTTGGTCGCTTGGGGGGGTGTGTGTGTGTGTGTATTTGTGTGTGTGTGTCAAGCCGAGTGTAAAATGGCACACTGCATTTTTTTCCAGGCTGCAGAGGGGGAGCGCGGGGGATAGTGCAGACTGGAGGGACACTGCCCTCCCAGCCAATCAGCGCGCGCCTGTTTGCCATTACAAAGTTGTTAACCCCAGAGTCTTCTGGCTCCTGCTGTCTCTGCTTTTAATCTTCTTTGGATATTTCTCCGATTTCTCCAAACGCCCCCAGATCCTCAGGAAAACCTCCTAATTCAACCAGGGACCATGGCAGAAAGTCCCAGTTCTGATTTCCGAAATATTTGGAAGATGTTTGGAGATCCCTGTGCTGCATTGAGATGGCTGTTTGTAGGGGAACAAGTCCACAGCCTATATTGTTACAGTCATTTTGCAAGGACTATCCCCCGTGCCTTCTCTAAAGGTAAGTTTGGGATTTTTTAAACCTCTATTTCTTGCTCCCTTTTTGCGAGATGCCCCCTGTGTAAAGGATTGGCGAGAGGTTATTGAGCACAACGTAGTCTTTGTATTTTTCTTCAGCTTTGATCTCGTGCCGATTCCACCCAACACTGGCTTGTTAATTTCGACAATTAGAAAACAGTTTTTGTTTCCGTCTTGAAAAATTAATACATCGAAGCTTAAACTGCACTTAAAGGATTGTTTCAGATGGAAGAACTCTCATATTTTCAAGATGGTTTGTTTTGTAGCGAGTGATAGCTATATTTATCTAAAAATGTTTTACTCTTTATAAATGTAATGCATTGTCTAATCTGTATGGAGATGTCTTCCCATAGGATGTTTATTGAGATTGTAGCCAAGGTAGTTTATAATGTCATTTCTGGTAGCTCATGATGGATTACTTTGGTTCAAACTACAGGGAAAAAACCTGCCTTTGGTATAATGAAGGTGGAGATTGACATAACAGGGTTTATATTAAGTTATGTCTGTTACTAAACAGTGGCCTTTTTATTTGCAAATCAGCTCTCTCCTATGAAAGTCAACCTAAAGCCTTATTTGTCTAAAGGCTCCTATTTAGCCACATTTCATTATAGAAGCCTTGCTTTTCTCTCAGAAGGTACATTTGGGAGACATTTTGTAATTTTTGGCATTTTTCTAGGCGCATTTTTTTCACACGGTGGGAGATCTTTTTTGTTTTGCATTGATCTGTGTTGGTGGCGCTGTGGTGCTCCTAAACAATTTATGCCTGTTTCACTAAGAGAAGGGGTGGGGGGAAGAAAGGTGGGGCAAGATTTGATCTATTGTATCTTTTTCTTTTCTTTTATCTGAGTAGGAGCAGTTTAGATGGAGATCACTAAATCATATTTATTTAAATAATGTAATATTGCGCGACCTATTGACTGGAACAGACATGATCTCACAGCCACTTGGTATTTTGTGTAATGAGAGGAGGCAGGGTTTTTTTCCCCTTGTATCTACAGATCAGTTTTCTTTTCTTCAGTAATAAGGTTTTTGGCCCCACCCCCAAATGATTTTGCAGTGGCTTCAAATGAAATATTGTGAAATCATGCCATGTAGAATGGTTTGATGTAAATTAATTGTACTACTTGTCTATTGTCTGTCTGTTGTGAAGTTAAATTTTATATTCCTAGTTGATGGCTAAATCTTAAGGGCCCTGTTCCTTGGCTCTTTGCACGTACAAATCTCTTCCTAGGTCTATGGGAGTTCTGACTGTACATGAATATGAGATTGTATAGAACGTAAAACCTACAATAGTTCTTCCCAATTCTAAATCAGTTGCATTTGCTGGGGGTGGTTTTGGGAGGGGGTTTGGTTTGTTTTTGGTTTTTTCCTGCTTTGTAACTGGAGCATGATTAGACAAAAAAAAATTTTTTTTAAATGGTTGTACATTATAGGCTACAAATAGCCAAACATTTTAGCACAAATACATTGCAGCATTTTCTGCTAGCATCTTTATTGTGCTTATAAGAAAACAAAAAAAGTAATTCATATGCCAAAAAATGGGTGGGAAGACACAGTCAAGACTTAGATGTATACTCTCAGAAAAATGAAATTTAAAAAGCCACTAGTTCATTAACTGCTGGTTTTGAAATACTCAGAACATGTCTTAGAAAACTCAACAGGTTAAGGGGAAAAAAATAAAAGTGTGGAGTACAGTAATAAATTAATAGGTATCTATTTATCTATTAACGTAGAATGTTTTTGTACAATTGACAGCTGGTTATGAATTGTCAGATGCACGTTTTACATTTATATTTCTAAAAAAAACCCATGATTCCCTTCTGTCTTACTTACAAACTTTATTTTCATCAGAAATATTTTACTAAATCCATCTTTTTCTGTCCCCCTTAATCAGAACTTCCCAAGACAAGTTTGATTCTCTAAAATTGAAATGCTTGCTTGGTGAAGGCCTTTTCTGTTAATCCTGACAACCTGACATACAAACTGCTTTGTTTAACTGCCCACACAAAATCCATTTATGAAGAGTTAAGAGTTAAATCTTCTGTTAGGGGAGGTCAACTTAGGTGCAGTCAGGACTCCATAAAACCCTAGTTGGTCCAAGCTGGAAAGGGACCTAGAGAACTAGTATATTTTCTATCAGCCCTTGATATAACTCTTAGCTTTTAAGAGAACATTAATCAGCTTTGAGCCTGCTAAGGTAATAAAGGTTGTAGACATCTGCATCACTGAGATCCATCCCCACCTTTGGATGGACTTTTTGCCATCATGACCAGCAACTGGGTTATATCAGCTGAAGTAGTCATTTTGAGTCATCTGTAAATAATAGTGGCACTATCATTTTAGTAATATTCAATATATAGACTTTTGAAATGACTTGAAAATGACTCATTTGCATCATGCAGGCCATGCAATGGAAATTTGGTAAAAGTGATTTATTTTCAGTACATTTTTTGTGGCTTATCACATAACAAATCTTAAGCCTTGATATGTCAAGTAGGTCTTTACCCAAAATCACTTTCACACCTGCTGACCATTCTCAGAATACATAAAGATTTTGGCAGGACAAGGAGCTTAATGCTTTCTATCAGACCTAGTTACTTAACAGTTTTGAAGAGGAGAAGGAAAACAAAGAGGGCCAGAAATGCAGATCTAGAGTTAGCATTTAATTAAGATGAATGAAGGCGCACACATAAGTTGTCCACACACTTATGAGGGCAACAGTTTCAGAAATGCAATAATATTTTTATTCAAAAGTAATCTTAAGCTATACAAAAAAAATACAAAAAGCAAAACTTCATAATACACTTCACAACCAGGTGTATTTAACAAATAAGTCAGCAGTTCAGCTCTCTAGTTGATATCTATATTTTTGTCCCCATGGACATTTGAGGTTTATTTTAATCTGAGAGACAGAGAGTGCTGAAGAAGTTAGGTTCTAGGTCCTTACTTATTTCCTGACACATAGGCAGCAGGGGCCCATGAATGAGGTTTCCATGCCTGTTTCAACTTACTTTAGCTATCTAACGTATGGATTTGTCCCAAAACAGAAGCAGAAAATGTTAGCAGAAGAGTAAAGCTTTGTTTGACTCACCTGTTCCAAACAATACAGCTGGTTTGCCTACTGTGCCTATACCTGTATAAAATTGTTGCAGCCAACAGCAAGAATAGAAGAAGATGAAGAGTAGATGAATAAATTACTGAACAAGACTAGTAACTGCCTCTGAGCTGATGTCAGAGAGGAGGATTCTGGATTAAGATGAAAGTAAGGGATCTTTGTTTCCTTTTCATTCTTCCTCTTTCCATTTGGGGACCAATAAGTTAGTTTTGTGAGGTCTTTGTAGCCTTGCTGGTCCTCCTCCATGGAAATTCCTTTCTTCTACAGTCTTTAGACCCAGTTCTAAACAACAGCGGTTGTGAAATAACAGGATGTCTAAAGCCAACGTTAAAGGATAGCCTGTACTTACTGACTGGAATTGTACCACTTGATATCAGAAGAAAGCGAGCCAAAAATAAAGATCAAGGCAGATGGAAGAACCACTCTATGGTCACACAGAACTAAATGGCATAAAGTACAAAAGAGTTTTGTGAACAGTGTTGCGCTGTTGGACAGAGTGGAAAGAGCCATCATTTGTGCACAATTTTGGAAAAACATCTAGTTTACGGCAAGGACACAAGAAGAAAAACAGACTTTCCCATCGGGTAGCCTAAATGGAAAAGGTCTGATCTGCCTCTATTGCCACATCCTCTGTTTTCTCCAGTTTCTTTCTTAAGCCTGTATTGGACAAGAAAAAACAGTCTTCTAGGAGCATGGAGACCCAACAAGGCCCCCAAATTGGACTTAATTTGGATACCTTTAAGAGATCAGCCTCACTCATGTCTAACATATCTTCTGCAGGGAACCCCAGAAGAGTCACTGCAGAAGAATGGTCTTATCTGGATCTTGCCTATGACATTTTTAAGCCCATCTAAATACATCAGGATTAGATTCTTATAAGGTCTACCTGTTTTCTCCAAATGGGATTCCCTTGAGTTTGTTCCTTGGCCACTCTTCCATTACCATGGGGGATAGCTAAACTGCCCCTCTCCCAAGCTGATTCCTACCTTACCTAATAACCTATGTACAATCTATATACTGGGGTAGCTTTTCAAGACCTGAAGTTGTCCCAGATTAAAGTGAATTAGGGCATGATACCTTTCTCTAAATCATTTATTTCTTTCCAAGATACTAATGTATCATGGATGATGCATTTGATTGAAAAACAGTACACAGCAAGATTTTTTTTTAACTTTGAGTCATTCCAGTAGCTATAGCCAGGTATACCTTGTATTTGTTTAGGACAGCTGCACTGGGATGTACACATTCCATCTGACTGCTAGTGTCTAAATAATCCCTTACCTCAGGGGCAGGCAAAATACGGCTCGCAGGCCTGCTAGGCACTTCCATCCAGCCCGCGGTGCCCACCAGTTAATTGTACCCCACCTAGCTGGAACCACATATACACCCCCAGCGTAGCCTTTTGTGCCTCACTTTCACTCCCATGGGTGGAAGGGCCCAGCCTAGCTAGCACACAGCTTCCCAGGGACCCTATCAACTACTCAGGGTCCCACTTGCTCCAAGCAGCAGGTAGGGAAGTGGCGGGGGGGAGCTGCAGGTGGGTGGGAGCATGGAGCATGGGCCTGGTGGGAACTCAGAGCCCATTCCCAGGGGGACAGTGGCAGCACAGAGCTCAGGTGGGCAGGGTGTGGATGTGAGGGATGGTAGGGGGGACATGGGGACCTCCCCAAACACTCCCCCCATGGTACATGGGACTCGCCAGCAGGAGCAGCAGCAGGCGGGGGCACTCATGCCTGGCTCAGGTGCTGTTGCCTGGCAGCATGTGGCTCCAGCCAGCATTGCACGTTGTGGTGAGGAGCGCAGCCTGGCCAGCCCACCTCTATTGCCAGGGCTCCCTACTGCGCACATGCAGCTCCCACACTTGTGTG